GTTTTATATTTTTGTATTTGGAAATCTTGGATAATACACTTGGATAACACATATACGCATCTGCTCTGCATCATCTGGGAAACAATTTGGGAAAATTTAGTGACTCTTTGAAAATTTTAAAATTCGAACCAAATTACACATGCAGAAAATTTGCACCTTTGAATTACAAGGTTTTGTAAGATGTGATAAGAAAAATTTTATGAAATTGGTTCAACAGAACAAAGATTATTTAAAATAGATACTTTCAAATTTTTGTTAATTTTATGATATGATTTATATCAAAAAGAATTAAATTATGGGAGTGATGATTAACATCACTGTAAATCAAACGTTTAACATCATTGAATAAAGTTCAATGATAAATCATATTAAAATACAAACTTTTATTGTATTGTATAATTTTATTTTTTGCTAAGCAATGTAGAGGAATTCATTAAATTTGCGAAGAAGAATTTGCATTTTACATAATTTATCTTATTATTTATGTTATGATATCAAATTTTTTTTCTAAAATTATTCTCATTATTGGATAATAGAAACATTTAGAAATCAGAAAATCAAGTAGAAATCTTAGTCTCAAATATTGAAAATTGTTGATTTGAATGTCTTTATTGATTTTATAAATACAATTATTTATTTTATTATAAATTATCTTTTATTTGTATATATGACATCGGATGAAAGCAAACTTGAAGAGTAAATCAGATTATTTTAATAACCGTTCATCAAGCAAATTTTGGAATTCCTATCTGGACATGTAGTCAATTGCTTCCGATTGGTAATTCTTATCTATAGAGGTTACGCACGATAAATAATTGTTTACGCAAGTTTGCGGTTCGAAAGAAAAAGAGAGACTTGCTGCACGTGACTTGCATTAATATCAAGACTGGACCTCTATGGACTATCGACTGTTAATATTATTATTATTCCAATACTTGCGCGTTTCAGAGAATTTTATGCGACTTCATAAATGATCTCTGACGCATAACGTGATAAGGTTGGAGTCTACTTGTATGTTTTGCGAATGCACGCATTTCGCAATATTCGTTGTCGAGACGTTAATTGTTGCTTTTGCTTTTTCATATTACTGTATAACGACGGAGATAATATACAATAATAGACGTATCGCGCAATAGATCCCAATAAGCATAACGATGTAAAATTTTATTTGATGGAAATATTCGCGAATCTTCAATGTATAATTGCAAGCGATTTAATTTTCGTATTTTATTATCCAATTTGTTTTTTAGTCTATTGCATATATTTTTCCATACTTTTATTAAGAATCTTCTTTAAAAATCTTATCTTTAAAAATAAACTCTAGAACAACTAGAAATTTGTTTAAATTTAATTTATTATGATGAATCAATTTATTTATGTTATATAACATCATCGAATTCAGAATATTGATCTTGTCTAAAATTGCATTTATTAATCCATTAAGTGACTTTGAAATGATTTATTGATGTGATTTGAAGACATAACAATTAGTATTGTCTGTAACGATGAAAGCAAACATGTTACGCATAACTGCTTTCACATAATCGCATATTTGTCATCGAGAAGTCATTGACTTTACAACGTTAATCGTTATATCATCATTAATTATCAGCTTCGTTTTTACTCAATACTTTCTGCAAAAAACTTAATCCTTTGAACGAAAAGTTAATGAAATACACGTACATCTCAAATAAACGAAATTCATTACGTGACCTACTTGCATGGAAGAAGGTTGTCATCAAAGTACTTATTTATTCATTACGATGGCATACATATGTAGTTTGCGTTAAAAGAAGAAAGAATGCATCGAACTCCTAAAATAACAAATACTGTTTCGACACAAAACTATTCTTATCAAGTTTAATGAAAGTAATAAAAATAATAAAAAAGTAATAAAAATAAAAATAAAGAATAATAACGATTAAAGAGAGAACAACTAATATAAAGGCTAAAGTGATATAAGAGTTGTGATATAACGTCTGGCGAATAAAATTGTCAAGCTAACTCACACACTTATCGAGAATAGAGACGCAGACTGATTGCCACGTCTTCTCATTAAGATCAGTCATTAAGATTCAGTCAAACTGATTAGCCGGTGCAAACACACGCCTTAATCTCAAATAAATCTACAATCGACGCAACGTGGTAAATCCGAATGCGTTAAAAGATCATGCGCAATTATTCGTTAAGTTTATGACGGCTCGCCTAACCGGACGAGTCGTTGTTCAAAGTCCAAGGTTATCACATTGGCAAACAAGTACAGTCACTACCTGTGTGTGAAAGTGTGTGTGTGTGTTGTAGGAGCAATGATAACTGATAAATCTAGAATGGTTTCAATCTTTTTCTGGAATATTTTAATTAGACATTTGTACGTTGAAATTATTATTTACACAGAAATTATACCAAATATTGCGTAAAATTATACGAACGTCGCCTATAATGACTTGAGCAATAAAGTTGCGAATAAAATAACAAAAAAAAGAACTAAACTTCCGTTTATGTTTCATTTGATTGTGCCTCATTGATTGTCAGTTTAATAGACGTCCTATAATGTTTTTATTAATCGTTCTATCTAGATGTCTCCACCATTTCTTAGAAACCGTATACATTTCCTGATAGATATTCCTGAACTTAAATATTCTTCCAAAGTCATACGTCTAGAAGTTTGAGGAGGCAGTATTGTAAAACTTTTACTAAATGACGTGCACTGTTCGACATATGTTACATTGGTAAACCGGCTTTCCTGGTGAAATCAGGAGGAAAGGGATTCTCGAACGAATCGAGTAATGCTCTCTTGTTAAAAAGTCCCCGATCTGAAAGCGTGACGGGCTGTCTGCGTATACGTTCGTTCGCACATCCACGAATTATCATCAATTACTTTCCTCTCCCTAAGTGACACGTTTGTCAATATTTCTGTGACTTGCGCGCAACTCTTGTTAAATTAATTATGTATCTCGTATCGGTACGGATCTGTCATCGAGATGTTCCTCTGCCGTTCTCCCAATACGCCTCTCCATCGTGGCTCGAGTGAAAACCGAGTTGAAACGCAGACGGACTTTCTATTACGCATACAATATATATATATATATATATATATATATATATATATATACAGTGTACGCGCGTATGAATCAAAATTGTATCGTAGCCTTCGACTCTCAACATCTTTGGGTCATGTAACATTCTCTAATCTGTGTAAACGCTTCGTAAACGTTGCAAACACACAACATGCATTCTGCGATCTGGAATGTATTTAATTAAATATCTCTCCGTGAATTTTCGTGCCAGATTCCCAGTTTTGAATTGACAATTTGAGTATGTATATTGTATGTATGAATGTGCTATCACTGTTTGATGATGAGAAATTAATCGTGAAGAAACAATGATATTAATTGGCAAATTAATCTAATGGGAAATGGAAAAATTAAGAAAATTTTACATATTTGATATTCGAGAGTTTGACGTGATCGTGATTTTGTGACACTTGTAAAATGTCAATAATATCATATTAATTTTTTACGAATTAGGAGCTTAATTTAAATAAATATGTTAATTACAGTAGATGTTTGTAAATATGAATAGAATATTATTAGTACTTTTTAAGATATGGTTAATTTGATGACAAATCTGTATTAAGTCTCATTAAAAAGTGATTTTTTAAAATATATACTTAATTTTAATATAGTTAATATTTTAATCCTAATATAGTTTAATTTTTAACAAATTTATAACAAATATGTTTTGATTTGACATATTTTATATTCTTATATTTGAAATTATTATTTTAATGATAATTCATCTCTCTTTTTGTTTTAATAAAACTTCTGTTTTTCACAACTCATATTAAATTATGTCAAAATCGAGAATATTAACTTTTTGAGAATATTAACTTTAGAATATTAACTTTATAATATTACTAAATAATCTTTTTTTATATGCTATTATTCGTGCTCGTATTGATAAGCTATATAAAAAATTGACTTTTTTATTATTTTATATTAATAAATATTCTCAATGAAAATAGATTTTATGATCAATGAATTTTTTTTGTTATCATATCTTACGAATTTACATTCTTAAAAATACAATATTATACAAAAGAAATCAATTTATTTATTGTGCTGCAAGAAAAAGAATTCATTCATTCCTTTCATCTAACGTCATAGCTTGATAGAGTCAGAAGACAGGTGCATTACAAGTTGAAGAATGTTGCGAATGAAATTTATAGCTTCAATAAAAAGACAATTCAGGAAAGAAAAGGTGAGAGAAGAATTACAAAAATTATACAGTACAGCGTTTTAGCTCGATCGCGAATACAGTTTGTACCAGGCGCTCTTTCAAAAGTCGAGTGTGTTTGACCTCCATAAAGTAAGATCGCCGGTCAAACTTGTCATGCGATGGCCCTGTATTTACCAGTTTGATGTGATCTACACGCATGCACTCGCGCGCACCGCAATTGCGGCTTTTAAGTAAGATCAACTGGTACATCTGCATCGTTATCATCCTCATGATCACGTAGCTCGTCACGACGAGATTGCTCTCTTCTTTGTCGATTAATTTCCAATATATCTTTTTTCGAATGTTCGATTAAAGAAAATATGACATTCTGTCTTAATCATATGTAGTAAAAAAATTTTTTTTAAATCTCATGTAATAAATTTTAATCTTTATATGATTAGCATTCTTAATTAGCACATACATATTAATATCTTGTTCTTTGGATTGCAGTTGGTTTTCTTAATCGATATTCTTAATCGATATTCTGTCCTAATCGTATGTAATAAAAAAACTTTTTTTAAATCTCAATCTTAAGTAAATTTTAATTTTTGATGACTAGCATTCTTGACTGTATGTTGATATCTTTGTACTTTGAATTACAGCTTTCATTGTTCTTCCAGCATAATTTAGTCGTACTTCGTTCTTAGTTATTTGAACAGCGATTATACGAAAGACTATAGTTGCGAAGAATAATAATTCTTAGATAAACTTCAATTTTACAGGAAGGCTAACGCAGAATGGCGGAAGCCCATTCGGCTGTAGCATTCAGCTTCTCGATAACACACGAAGGATGGGATGTAAACTTTGACCGAGAAGTACTCCACTTGGTTTGGCTCTCTGGTGTACGTTCATGGAAGAAGAGATTCTTCCGGTTTCAGGTGAGTGTGGACATTTTTAATACCTGAACAAATATCGAATATTAATGTCGAACGTCATCAACGTGTATATTTTTACATGTACATATTCTATTCGTAGAATAATCTGAAAAGCGGCGTTTACCCGGCTTCTTTGGAGAGTCTCTGGGTTACTGTGATTTTAGTAACGGCAATACACTTTGCTGGCTACAAAGTCCCGTATGACCTCGTTGGAAAAGTCTCGCCGTATATTTCCGGGTAAGCCTACATAAATTTTATATTTCGATTACAAATTATTTGTGATTCGTCGCATGCGATAAATAAAGATAATTAATAGATTTTTTTCGCAATAGATCGTCTATACTCGCGCACTTGGCAGGCTCCTTCGTGGTCGGACTGTTCATATGGCTGGCGGTCATATACGCAATTCGATACACGTTCAAGCTGTTGCTGATATACAAAGGATGGATGTATGAATCAAGGGGTAAAGGTCGCAAGCCGTCATTGACGACCCAAATCTGGCTCTTGCTGGTAAAACTATTCTCAGGTTGGCATAAGCCTATGCTGTACAGTTTCCAAGGATCACTGCCACGATTGCCACTACCGACAGTACCTGACACTATGAAACGGGTTAGATAAATAATGTTTTTATGATTTTACAATGATTTTACGAATCAGTATTTACGATTTAAGAACGAATCAGTATTTACTTCTCGCACGCGTAAATTAGATTTTGGTATTCTAATGCTAGTCTGATGAATAACTTAGTAAGCTTTGAGCCTACAACGATTTTACGATGGCTCTAGGTATTTTCTTTTGTTTAAAATTGTAGTAAAAAAAATCAAAATGTTATTTGAATAGTATCTGAGGAGCGTACGGCCATTGCTCGATGACGAGAATTACGCTCGCATGGAAAAGCTGGCCAACGAGTTCCAAAATGGCATCGGAGTCAAACTACAACGTTACCTCATTCTCAAATCTTGGTGGGCTACTAACTACGTATCTGATTGGTGGGAGGAGTATGTTTATCTGCGTGGAAGATCACCTCTGATGGTCAACTCAAATTTTTATGGAATTGACGCCATTCTTACGCATCCCACGAATGTGCAAGCCGCGCGAGCCGCAGCCGTAATATATTCCTGCTTGCAATATAGACGTCTTATCGAACATCAGGAATTAGAGCCAGTTAGTAGTTTTTTTTCATTTTTTTATTATTATAAAAATAAAATTTTCATATACTTAGCAAACATATGAATTTTTATTTATGATATATTTGTTTTTATGGATATCTTTTTTTAAGATATTTTATTTAAGATAAATCATAAAATAAGAATGCATATTGCTATTTTGTATCGTTCAGACTTAATTATACGGACTTCATATATTTATTTTATATTAAAAATTATATACATTATATACATTTACATTTATATTCATATACATTATATACATTTTCAGATTCTAGTGCAAGGATTAGTACCATTGTGTTCATGGCAATATGAAAGGGTGTTCAATACTACACGAATTCCCGGAATTGAAGTTGATAAAATCGTGCATTATCAAGACGCCAAACATATAGTAGTATATCATAAGGGCAGATATTTCAAAGTTTTAATTTATTACCGAAATAGAATTCTTCAAGCCTGTGAAATAGAAGTGTAAGTTATTGTCGATCTATTGATATGTATCTTTATTATGTGCGAATATATGATAATATGACTTTATAGTCAGATTCAACAAATTTTGGATGACAATTCAACACCATCGGAGGGAGAAGAGAAATTGGCCGCATTAACGGCTGGTGAAAGGACTGCCTGGGCACAAGCTAGAAAAGACTTCTTTGCGAAAGGTGTAAATAAAGCTTCTTTGGATATTATTGAGAAGGCTGCGTTTGTGGTTGCATTGGACGACGTACCTTATGAATATGATCCAGTACGTTATCTAATAAAAAAACATATTTTTGAACAATATAAATGTTGATCATCTCTTCAAATTAATATATGATTGTTTTTTCGTGCTTTAGGAACATCCAGAAAAGTTGGATCATTATGGTAGGATTCTATTACATGGAAAGGGTTATGATCGATGGTTTGATAAATCTTTTACGCTATGCATTGGAAACAATGGCAGAGTGAGTACATATTACAAATTACATTAGAATTGATTATTATTGGAAGTTTTATAAAAATTATTTTTCTTCACAGATTGGTTTCAACGCAGAGCATTCTTGGTAAGTATATTCCTATACGCAAATAATAAAAGCAAATGGATATTTTTATAAGATTTGTTTTACAGAAATAATTATCTAAAAAATTTGTATATTTCTATTTTTAATAGAAAAATAGATCACAAATTTGTATTATATATATTATAAAAACAATATATTTTTATTAATATAAATTTTTATTGCACACAAACTTATGTATATATTGAAACACTGCATATAATGACAAGTAATGAGCAGGGCAGATGCTGCAGTCATGTCACACTTGTGGGAATACGTAGTATGTTCGGAGTTCCTGGACCGACAGTAAGAATTATAATCCATAGTTTATATCGTTTACTTTGCATATCTATCTATTTATCTTTCTTCCTGCTTCTGAAAGATAATTGTACTGTCTCCTTATATGTTAAGGACTTCTATGAAACTTTGAATTGCTCTATATATATATGTGTTTTCTTTATTTAAGATACCTCTTTTAGCAAATCTTTCATGTCCTCAAGCGCTCTTCGCAGCAGTCATCTTTAAAAGTCTATGGGGTTCTTGCTATGCCTTATGTTTCAGTTTTCTAAATGTTACATTTCCTGGAGGTTATTTTTCTCTACCGGATAGTTTCACTGATGAGTGCTTTTGATGATGATGCTTTTACATCTCTCTTTCGCGTTTTGTCCTTAATGTTTTTTTTCTTTTGATATGCTTATTAGGGCTGATGCACCAGTGTTGGGAACTCTATGGGAATTTATTATGGCTGCTGATAATGAAATTGGGTAATTTTTATCGTGCATTGTTACTATATTAATAGTGGGGCATAAATCACTGATCACTCATCTGTATTCATCCTATTACAATCATGTAACTTTTATCATGTCTTAATTATCATTAGACAGTGATTTTCTTTTTTTATAATTTTTTAATTTTTACTTACAATGCTTTTAAAGTGTATTATATCTGCTTATCATATAATAAATATATTATTAAAGCCATCTATTTAAAATAAAAAATTATTGCTTAATTATAATAATTATATGCTTAATTATAATAATAATAATAATTGAATGAAATTATTAGTATATATATATTAAAATGTATTTAGATTTGCATGATATTATATGAAGAATATTCAGAAAATGAAGATTACGCGTGAATCAATTTGTCTTGGTCATTATAATTTATATTACGTCATAATAAACAATAATAAACATATTTAATCTTTATTTTTTGAATACTCTTTTACAGCATAATAAAATGGCGCTTTCTTCATGAAGTAGATATTTTTAATAAAATATGTAAATAAAATACGTAAGTTCAAATATTTCCATTATATGAAAAACGTGCATTATTCTTAGATATAAGGATGGACACAATGCGGGTACTCCAGAATTTACGCCTCCAGCTCCAATTCGACTGCAATGGGATTTGGATGCCAAATGTATTGAAGCTATTGAACAATCTTATCAGGTAATAACAACAACAACAACAACAATAATAATAATAATAATTAATCTCGTTTCTCTAAATGTAATACAGTGACAGATATTACGAGTAAAATATGATTGTGTGAATATTGTGATTATATAATAATTGATTTTAAATTTAATAGGTAGCGCATAGTATATTAAATGATGTTGAATTACGTATTTATGTGCACACTGCTTATGGCAAAGGCTTGATGAAAGCTCATTCTATATCACCAGACGCCTATATACAAATGGCATTGCAATTAGCGTATTATCGTGATGCTGGAAAATTCAGTCTAACCTATGAAGCTTCCATGACGAGATTGTTTCGAGAAGGTCGAACGGAAACGGTCAGACCATGTACTATTGAGTCTTCTAAATGGGTAAAAGCGATGGAGGATGAAACAACAATGGTAAAGATGACATAATAAATGAAGAATACAAAAATTTAACGTATCTCTGTATGTTTCTAAGATCTTTTCTCTGGTGTAGGTAACGGAAAAAGTCAAATTGCTAATGGATGCGGTAGAAAGACATCAAAAAAGTTATCAGGATGCTATGTGTGGTAAAGGGATAGATAGGCATCTATTCTGTTTATACGTAGTATCGAAGTACTTAGAAGTAGATTCACCATTCCTGAAGGTAGCTATTTTATGCATCTATCATGTAATAATTGATTTAAATATAATATTATTAAACGCGATAAATATTTCTATTATAGGAAGTTCTAAGCGAACCATGGAGACTGTCAACATCGCAAACTCCACACGGCCAAACTTCGAGATTGGATTTAAAAAATACCCGAATTGTATTTCAGCTGGTGGTGGTTTTGGTCCTGTGGCCGATGATGGTTACGGTGTTTCTTACATAATCGCGGGAGAAGATCTTCTATTTTTCCATGTTTCTAGTAAACGATCTTCGTCAAAAACGGTAAGATAATTACTATTTTTAATTACTATTTTCATTACTTTGATCATTTTTGTCTTCTTTAATATGTGCATTGTCTTTATTGTATATGACATATTTATTTATATACAGTTGTTTATATATTAAAAGATATTTCTGATCATAAAATAATTGTAATATTTACAGAATGCCGCCAGATTTGCAAGACAAATTGAAAAAGCGCTTGATGATATGAAAAACCTGCTAGAACAGAAAAAGAAAATACATCAGAACGGGTCTGCATAACTTATCTATTACCTGAAGTGGTACTATAGCTCCAAGTAACTTGGCTTATGGAAGAATTTAATAATATAAACATAATTTAAATGTTTAAAATATAAGTTTCTTAAGGCAGTTTTTTTTCATAGATAATTATTTTAGTAGATAAAGATTAAAGAAAAAAAAATAACGGGCCCAAAATTTAAGACACAACGTAGATATTGCACATATAGATATAGATTTTATAGAATCATTTTCATATTTATCATTTATATATATCATTATCACGAATATCATCTTTATTATTAAATAATCATTTATAAACTGACACTTTATGCGTGATTTAATGTACAATATTGCACAGCAAAAGTGTGCACAAAAATACAAGTATCAAATTTCGATGGCTTGCTGTACAATATTGCAAATTTAAAGAAAAACGCTTAATATATATGACTATAAAAATCAAATGTAAATCTTATTGCTTATTTAAATTGTTGAAAATTTTCATATGTAAAAAGATACGTTAACAATGTTAAAATTTTTAGATATTGATTATAAAATTACTGAATTTTGAAAGGTTTACATCATTACATATTTACTACAAGTGTAGGCAATTTAATAAAAAATTTCGTTATGCGTATCCACTATGAATTATATTTTATAATAATTTAGTATCAAGAAGTGATTTATATGTAATGCAATTTAAAAAAATTTTTTAATTATTTTTTCCTTCACGAGTATACACAAGTAGTAAAAAAGTATTTCTTATATCTTAATACGACATCTCAATATTAATCTCGTTTGTGTCTGATGAGATAGGGATGTGTAACTACGAATATGTGATTACTCTGATTTTTCTTTTTAAGCAAATGTTTAAGCGATGCCATATATTGATATGTGCAACTTATCAATGCAAAATGTTTTAATTGTAAGTAATTACTAATTGTAAGCAATTTTATACCTAGAGAAGAAAAGCGTGCGATTACATTCTCCTATCACATATATTTGTTAAAAATATATTTACAGATATTGGTGCTTTTAAATCTTGTTATTATTCAGTGATGTTACAATTAAAAATGATTGATATTTAAGTGTAAGAAAGATGAATGATTAAATGCAAGATAATGGTATAAGAATATACGTAACATTTTTTGTACACTTAATAATTTCGTCTTTGTACATCTAATCAAAACTTCGATGATGATTGTCAAGGTTAGAAATTGTATAATAGAATTTCATCTGTAAGAATTCTAAAGTAACTTCGATATCCATTGTAAATAGAATTTTTATAAAAATTACAGTTATGTATAGAAATTTATGAAAAGCAGTGAAAGATCTAAAATATCAATCAAATATGAAATATGTAAAATATTTAAATATTGGCATGAAAAAAAGAATATCACAGATATCTACAAAGCATTCGAAATATTTTTGTACAATATTGATAATCGATCGGTAATTCTTTTTATACATTTTACTGGTACAGTTATACAGAATTTGTTTTTATTTTATACAAAAATATGTAGTTTAATCATAACATGAATATACTGTAATAGAATGAAAACTACAGTCATTTAGTAACAATATTTTGACATGTTTACACATGTCATTTTTCCTAATGAGAAATGAAAAATTTTCACAAATACATATCTCAGGAATACATATTAATACATAAATATGCAAGAACTGTACAATTATGATCTATGATTTCTTAACAGTATCTATTTTATATGGTTGGACTTTCACTTTTTCTTGTTTTGATCGATGTTTGTTGGATATTACTGCGTTTCGTAGCGTCGAATGCAAAAACCTTTTATTAACGGTTTCTTTAGGTTTCACCCAGCCACTAGGCCCCATTATCTTGGCCCTTTGCGCACCAAGTTTAGCTTCTTCCAATAATGCTTCAGCTGCCAGTCTAGAAAAATATATATTTATATTTTGTAACAACAGCATTACTGCGCAATTACATAAATGAAAATCACATTTACTGAAATAAATTTTTATTCTTGCATGTTTTTTATAAACTATTATAAATCTATCTATAGAATGTTAATAATACATATCAGTAATATGCAACTTTTATATAATTGATATATCGATATATAAGTAATCTCGCTTATGTTATTTCAAGATTCGATTTTAATCAATGTAGATCAACTTTAATCTTAACTATATTTACTTTAAAATTAAAAAAAAGTTAAATTGAGGTTAAAGTTAACCTATTTTAGAAAAATGGATATAATTGTTTAAAATAAAGCAATTAATAAAACACAACAATGCGTATATAAACTTTAAAATATTCCATACTTATACGAGGAAAAAAACTTACATTATATTTATATAGTTTACTCAGAAATACAATTGTAGGTTTAATTTTTAATAAGAAAATAAAAAGCAACCGTTATTACTATGTTGTATATTTTTAAGAGAAAGTGTCACATTGTAAATTAAATTGCAAATAATGCAAGAACTTCTGCCCAGTAATTTTGTATAATTATAATCATATACGATCTGATGTAGACGATTACCTATTTAACGTTTCATCATCCATGCTTACCCACCGAGACTAGTTAAGACTTTCTCAAATCTTCTGAAAAACAAAGAAAGCATAAATATTACATAAATATTATAAAATACTTTTATGATTATACATATACGATTACGCACACGTAAATTCGGCGAATGTGATGTGTCTGACAAGTGTTTATAATCTTTTAGCGACAAAACATCACGTAGCTATCGTCTCGAAAAGATCGTCAAGATTGTCGAGGATTCTCTACACGCAACGGACACTTCCCAGTGATAATAACGGTGATAACAACGGTGATAACAGCGGTGATAATGCTTGCGACAGCTGACGATGGCTGACAAGATGGCTGTTGTTACAGCTGATTCACAGGCACGAAAAATGCTTAGGGGTGTCACGGGGCGGCGTTCGCCGGGAGTTATTCGCCGCAGAGCCGCGCACGCGATTACCAGCTGCGGCTTGTCACGAACACAATTCGTAACGCCTTCTCGTAACGTAACGTGGGGATCGTGGAGGACGGGGAGCGTTAACGACGACTACCGTGACTCGGTGAGACTGATAAAGCTTGAGAATATATACCGTCAACGCGGCATGTGAGTGCAACAGTCGATAGTTACCGATTAGACAGAATTGAAAAAAGTCTCCTCGGTTTGGCCGTCCTTATCTCACTTCGAGATATTTGTAATATATTTCACTTTTTCAAGACGGGGGTTTCCGCGTGCCACCAGTCACGCCGCCCAGGCGCAGACTTATGCACACGTAGAGAGGAATTTCGCGCGGCCCACATCGATCAACCGTGCGAATAAATAATTATCATCCGGTTATCGTGTGGTGAGTTCTCCGCGCCGGTCAAAGTGTCATTCTCTCGGTTGTTGCAGCCCTGATACAGAAAGATGGAAACGCACGCGAAAGCGATCGCCGAACTTCGCGAGAGATTCTTCAGAAAGTTAGACGACGAGGGACCACCCGATTCGAGTGTGTACATACGAGTGATTTCTCCTTTTCGGCGATCAGGAGCAATTTCCATTCCTAATTGTTATAATTAATTCGGCGTGTGTCAACGTCATACATATATTAAGTATATGTCGTAACGATACCGCTAGTGTAACATGTGCAAAGGTCATAGTCGATATATTCAATTGAAAACAATTGGCACTGTAATTGACGTAACAAAGAACACAGCGTAGATAATTGGCGGTTTCTTTTGTTTAATCATTCGGAAAAAACCTGCAGTTGGTTTTGCTCTTTTTTTTTTCATCTGGACCCATGCATCGAAATTTAATTAACGATTGTTTGTAGGAGGCTTTCACAGCGCCGATATAGCCAGGATAAAGAACAGCGATGACTGGCTGAAACGATTTTTGGAGCATCATGAATACAACGAGCAGGAAGCATTCAATATGCTTTGGGAAACTTGTACTTGGAGGAGAAAGTTTGGAACAAATGGTAAAATTGCCATGAAGTTTCAGTTTTCCATTTTTTTTTATGTGGATATCTCAGTAACATAAAATTAATAAAAAAGACAGACCCAAATAATTTAGATGACATGTAATTCAATTATATTATGGAATAAACAATGGGGAAAAAATTTTATTTTTTTCTCTCTTTTTCATTATAAACTGGCTTACAGATATTACCGAAGATAACGTTAGGAGAGATTATTTAGAAGATGGTTCAATCTTTGGCTATAGTAAAGACAAGGATGGCAAGAAGCTTTTTATAATTAAGTCAAAGTTACATGTTAAAGGAGTAAAAGATTTTCCGGAACTTCAGAGATGTATAGTTTATTGGTTTGAGAGATTAGAAAGGTATTGATATATTTTCTTATCTTCATTCAAAAATAAATATAAATATTGACATATATAACTTCTTAATTAAATGCACTTTCAGAGAAGGAAATGGAAATCAGATATCAATTTTCTTTGATATGGCAGAAGCTGGTCTTTCTAATACAGATATGGAACTTACTAAGTATCTCATTGGTTTATTCAAATCTTATTACCCAAATTTTTTAAATTACATCATAATTTTTGAAATGCCCTGGGTTCTAAATGCGGCCTTTAAAATAATAAAATCATGGTTACCTGCTAAGGCTGTTCCGAAAATTAAGTTTGTTAATAAAACCACGTTGAAGGATTATGTCAATCCAAATGATGCAATGAAATGTTGGGGAGGTAACAGTGATTATACTTTCAAATTTGTCTCAGAAATACAAACAAATGGAGACAGTGCGTTGAATGGCAAGTTGGATAATAAAAAGGTATGCATATTTTACATATATCTTTTCACATCATTACTATGATGACTTGCAAAACAAAAAATATTCAAGACATAATTTTTATTTCGTCACGTTGGCTATGACTTTTGTAAATAGATTTTGTTCCTTCTCTCTCTTCTTTTTATCGTTCTCTTGTTTTAGCATGACATAAGAAACAAAAAAAAAACAACCACATTTATTTTTCACTTCTATAATCAAATGTAGTATTCTGAGATAGAAAATATTAAATAATATGGAATATTTAGAAAATGTACATTAAATTATTAATAATTTTTAAAACATTTCTAATTTCTCTTTTAAACATGCTATATGTTTTTTAGGTGCATTTTATAGAAAATTCACCACTCACGGAACAAAGCCCCACTAGCTTCGGAGATCAAATTAATGAAGAACAGTGTATGTATAAAATTTATTTTATTGCAAAATTTGTTGCATGAATATATAATATAAAAAAGCAAACATGCAATACTAATAAATTGTTTATTTCAGTATTATCCATAGAACCAACAGAAACGATTACATTTAATAAAGATGGAAATGATATTACTGGGATAATTACACTCAAGAATATTACAACTGATAAGAATTTATCTTACAAGGTATATAGACATTATGTTATTAATAACAATTATGATAATAAATTTATTGGATGAGATATAGCACAATGTAGATATGATTTTACAGATAAAAACAACATCGCCTGAGAAATTTAGAGTGCGACCAAGTTCAGGAATATTACAACCATCTGAACAAAGAAATGTTACGGTTTTATTGCAACCTGGCTATAATGTACGCGGCCTGTTACAGAACGATCGATTTCTAGTCATGTGCCTCCCATTAAAAGATACAAATGCTACATCGCAGGAACTGGCTGTACTCTGGAAGGTAAATTCTGCATTAACTAATTCAGTTTATCTTTATCTTTAACATATCAAAATACGTCAATCTTAGATTGAAATATTCATGAGTAAGAATATTCATGCGCTCTCTTTTTTTGTAGTCTGAAAAAGCAACAGAGATGCATAAACTGCGATGTCACGATGGTACTATTGAAAATAATGAGATACAAAAATCCCATTCTGTGTTAACTTCTGCAGCAGGAAATGATCGTAATATAGATGCATTTTTTTCTAAGGTACATAGTCAAGGGTGCAACATCGAAATATTTTCTAAATTTGTTTAAGTGTTAAACAAAAATTTTAACATTAAATTTATATATTTATATTATATATATTATAATTTATATATTTATATATTAATATATAAATTTTCTTAATACATCAATTTAATATCAATTTCAGATAAACCATTTGGAAAAACATTATAGTGACTTACGTAGCGAGATGATTATCATAAAATATATACTGCTGTTTTCCATAATATTGACAATTGCAATGGCTATATTGGTAGTTTACATTTTACAAGCAGATATTAAAGACTTAGTGGATCAACAAACCTGCCAGATCCCTCGTGGTATTTGAAGTATGTTTTAAAATATATATTTGTAATAACTTTGATATATTAGGAAAATATTAAATCTTTAAATTAAATCTATGATCATGATTACAAAAGTAAAAGACATTTTTTATTACACATAATACTTAACATGTTAAAGTTTTTATATGTTTCCTGTTCTTCCAAAAATGTATGAAATATTTAGTTACATGTATTTCTTCAAATTAATTTTATATCTTGTTATGTAATTATATAATTATATACATATGATTATTGTCTAATAAGTTACCATGGTGTTTTGTAAAAAAAGCACAAGATATGAATGTGTATGGTATATTGTGAAACCTATATTAAAACTACTATTTTTATAAGCTTTTATACTCTATGAGAATATCCCTGACTGTATTAAAACTTGAATACAGATTAACATATACACGCAGATTTTTGTATATATCTGTAATGATTTTGCTTTCAATATTGTTGTATTTCATCAGTGTGGTTTGTACATGATTCCATAATTAAATTGTTTTGAAAATATATATTTGTAGAATATTCACCAGCCACTCATCCACTATCTCATTTATTTATGCAATTTACAACAGCAATTTGGACCACTCATAAAAAATTGGTATCAATCGCGTTTACATGAAATCTATTGGCACAATCTGTCGACAAAATGGAAAATTCATGGAAATTCAGACAAATAATAAAATGTCAGAAATACGAATATTTTCTTGTGAAAGAAAAAACTTGCAACTTGCAAAATACACAGATTGATGGTCTGAATTTCGCGCGAATTTTTAATTGGTTGAATAAACTTTAAGGCCTGTTCAGACTTCCGGAAAAATGACGAATCAATTTTGCGCAATAAGAAGTGAAGAAGAACGCAAACGGCCAATCATTTCCCGCTACTGCTGTCATTTTGGAAAAAGCAGCAAATTGATTGGCTCTCTTGATCACGTGCATGCGGAAATCGGTTCTACTTTGTAACTACGCCATGTTAGATCATTCGTGCTTAAAATAAGATAGAACACAATGAAAGAATTAAAAATAAGGATAAAAGAATAAAGGATTAAATTTGTTTTTCTATTGATAGAAAATAATTTCCTGTTTTTGATTCTTTATATTTAATTCCTTATTCTTTTTTATTGTCTGACTGACTCCTAAATATATTCTGTATTAAATAAAAAAGAATAAGAGTGACACAATGAAACAAAAAATTAAAAATAGGAAATTAGGAATGAAAAATTAAATTTTGACATATAAGTCAATATTTATTCTTATATTTGAGTCTTAAATATAAATCATCACATAATCTGCATGAGAATCTTAGGATATTATTTAAGACTATCTTGAAATAAAATGGAATTACGAATATTGGCTATAGGAATCCATGATTTAATACACAATCAAAGAACATCAAGAACATCATTCTTTCATTAATTGAAAATGATTTTCTCTTCCTAATTTTTATTTAATTTCTTATCCTTCATTGTGTCTGTACCTTAAGTCTTTGAGCTTACAAAGAACGAACCTTGCACGATTCAAGAAGCTGTAATAAAGATTCATTTAGCCGGACTCACGTGTAACTCGCACACAGAGAAAAAAAATCGAACGATTGCGTGCTCGATACGAGATACATAGCAATATGGTTGTCCTTCGTGTAGAACTTGTGATCGATCGATTTTTCTCGCGTGGCGATGCGAATCTACTTAGATAGATTTGAAATAATTACAGCTGTTGAATTCAGATCAAGATCAGGATCAGGATTATCCACAAAAGGAATTATTCGGCATCGCGTTTTCTAGAGGAGGAGCGGGATATCGCAGGAAACACCGATCGCAGGCAGCGGTGTAAACACGCGGAGAACATGACGCGCGCCGTGCCAGTGCGCAGCTGCCAACGCGCAGCCCAGCGCAGCATTTGAACCTTTGGCAGTTCGATCGGCCATATTTGCGCTCTTACACAACGCCCTCACGCGACGATCGTGGGTTTACGTGTATATTTGGTGGCTTTGTATCGACCCGTTTGGCACGGCCAGCGCGCACAGTTGTATCCTACGGCGACGTACGGTGAGTTTCGATGTTAATACGAACGGGCAGCGAATCCCGAAACGTCCAGGGCGAATCCTCGGTTTCTCGGCGGCACGCGGGCACGACGGACACGGCGGCGGCATCGTCGCACGGTGTCCTCCATATTGATGACAGCGCCGACGGTGATAATTTTCTGAAATTTTTGTCGTTAATGCCCCCTGTGTCCTGAAATCGAAAGCACCCGCGTTGTCTTAAAAGCTTCCCGACAGAATGCGCAACCTCGTGGGGCCCCCGCCGTGTGTTAACGAGAGTCCGCGAAATACGGTGCCCCCCAGGTACCCGCCCGCGTCCTCACGCCCGTAGCTCACCGTTTCCTTGTCCACGCCTCGCCTCGCCTCTCCACGCTGGCTAGCTAGCTGACTAGCGTCGCCCGTCATGGCGCGCGCTTCCCTCGCTTCCTCATGGCGTCATACGTCGGAGTCTCCTCCAGCGCCTCTGGGTCGTCGCCTCGACGCGTCGTACGATGGCGCGTCGCCGCCGTCGCCGCGGCGCACATTGCCCCCTTGATCGTCGCGCGCGCCGAGAGACGCCGAGAGGGGCGAGCGCGCCGCCGTCGCGGACGACGCGACAACCAGGATGCTTGCGGTCCCGCTCGCGCTGAATGGCATGCTCACCGCGAACGCTCGGCGAGCGTTCGCACAAATCTCTCTCTCTTTCCCATCTCATTATTGAGTCCTTTTCCTCGAATTCGATCGCATCGTACATAGCCGATGCTCACCACGAAAATCGTGACTCGCTCGTCATATCCTCGGGCGATACGCCGGGAGGAACGTTGTTTCTCCGCGTCCTCGCCCGTAAAAATGTTTTCGGTTTTAACGACGGTCAGAACGACTTTGTTTTGCAGCCTCGCTCGTGTTTTGCCCTACCGAATGTAAACTCAGCTTTTTAAGCTAGCTAACTAATTGGAAAGTAGAAAGCTAAACACATTAGAATTGTCTCCTTTCGTCCTAAAATCTTTTCACATATTTATTACACGTTTTATCTCGAATACGTATGCATGAAGATAAATTTGTGAGAGGAATGTGTATTTTACATTCTTATATATAGTGTGTACTTAATATAGACAGTTTTGTACTTATTTTTAGAATTGTTGAGATGTTGAAGTGTTATAGATTAATATCGGAGATTATCTCTATAGTAATAGCAGTTCAATTTGTGTTTCTATTATTTGGATATATATAAATAATTTACATATTAATGATATAATGTTTCAGATTAATGAATATAGTTAGCACAGTTTGAACTAAATGCTTCAATCATGAGTAACGTAGCAACTATAAAATTGGAAGAAGGACAAGAATCTGTCACTGAGATACAAACTTACTTGGAGACATTTAATAAAGAGATAGAAGGAGGACAGGGAGAACAACTACAGCATGTGCAATGTTTGTATATTTTTTGTAGTTCTTCAAATATTTTTGTTATATTGAACAATATTTTATTTATATATTTTATTATAGTACAACAAGTGGAGGGACTTTCTGGTGGAGAGGAAGGTGGAACGTATTTTGTTGATCAATCTGGTCAGTATTATTATCAGGCAAATAGTGACGAAACACCTGTAATGACACAGGTACAGATACAGGAAGTAGAAGAGACTGATGTACAGAATGAAGGTGAAGGAACTCAGGATGAACAATATCAGGAGATTGAAGAACTTGAGAATGCTGAAGGTGATGAAGATGTAAGTAAAAATAAAATCGTAATAATGACTATGATTTTTCAAGCATGGAAGTACATTTTCTATGCAAAAACTAATCTTAGGGACAAACCAATGGTGAAACCAATCAAGTTGTAATTAATTCTGGCGATGCATATCAGACTGTCACGATTGTACCATCTGATACAAATCCTGGAGAAGTCAGTTACGTTCTGATAGTTCAACAACCTGAATCCGAAGAAAAGGAGAGTAAACCTACGGAAGATGAAACAACAACAATGGCAGCAACAGCGGCAACAGCCGAGGGAGAGGAAGCAGAAGGTGAACAAGATCTCACTGTGTATGATTTTGAAGACAATGAGGACAATGAAGCCCCAGTAGAATCCGAGGCAGAAGATGATAAGACTAAAATTATTAAGTTTCTCCCTAAAAAATCTCAAACTGTGACACAAGCTCATATGTGCAATTACTGCAACTATACTAGCCCAAAACGGTATTACTTTTGGCATAGATTATTATCTTTTTATAATATATCAATTTAATTTAATTTTTATCTTCAAATCTATTATTACATGTTCAAAGAAGTGTTGTGCAACATTTGAAAAGTTAATGAACATTATTTATGCAACAGGTATCTCTTATCACGACATATGAAATCTCATTCAGAAGAAAGACCTCATAAATGTAGTGTTTGTGAACGAGGATTTAAAACTTTAGCTTCACTTCAGAATCATGTCAACACTCATACTGGGACCAAGCCTCATCATTGCAAATATTGTGAGAGTGCATTTACCACTTCTGGTAAGTAATTTTATGCTAATTATTTTTCTTATTCAAATGTCATGTACATTGGATTACACACACACACACACACACACACACACACACACACACACACACACACACACACACACATATATATATATATATATACATAATAA